TGTGGAATGAAGTGGGCGGGCATCGGGAGGCCACTATGGCACGGGGCAAGCACTATGGGCAGTCTATCTGAAGTGTACCTGGCGTATAAGACGACCCCCCACTTGGAGGCATATTTTTCAGGGCCAAAAAATCGTCTTATACGCCGGCAAATACAGTATATATATTGCCAATAAACTATTGAAAATAAAGATTTTTAAAATATGCAATTTATCAAAGCATTAAAAAGAATGAAATACTTAAGTATAAATTGGATAAAAGCTGCGAAAGACTTGTATAGTGAAAACTATAAAACACCATCCAGAGAAGTTAAATAAATTCTTAGTAAATGGATATGTTGCAATCCTAATCAAACTCCAGCAGCTATTTATAGAAATTGACAGGCTGATTCTAAAATTCATATGGAAATGTAAAATGCCTAAAATAGTCAAAAACAATTTGAAAACAAAGAACAAAGCAGAAGAACTATGTACATGAAAAAATCAGATAGCTGGTTCCAAACAAGTGTAGGATTACTTTATGACATCATTTTAGTGGGAAAATGGCCATCACGTTTTCCCCACATATTTTATGTTTGGAAAATATAAAAATATGACACATGTCCTCTTTGATAATTACCTCATCTTGTTCCCTTTTTCCTCCTATCCCAAAAATAATCACAGTGAGTTTGGTAACTTTCTTTCCAGACCGTGTGTGTGTGTGTGTGTGTGTGTGTGTGTGTGTGTGTGTGTATGTCCTATATAATAAAAGGCTAATATGCAAACTGATCAAACTTCAAAATGACCAGTCACTATGATGCGCACTGGTCACCAGGGGGCAGACGCTCGACACAGGAGCTTCCCCCTGGTGGTCAGTGCGCTCCCACGGGGGAGCGCTGCTCAGCCAGAAGCTGGGCTCATGGCTAGAGAGTGCAGCAGCAGTGATAGGAGCCTCTCCCACCTCCGTGGCAGTGCTAGGGATGTCTGACTGACGGCTTAGGCCCGCTCCCCATATCAGTCAGGTATCCCCCAAGCGAGGGCTCAGGCGAGGCTGAGGGACACCCTCTGAATGCAAAAATTTTGTGCACCGGGCCTCTAGTGTGTGTGTGTGTGTGTGTGTGTGTGTGTGTGTGTACTTGGAACACTTGTAAGTCAAGGCCCCACTGTATGTATGTATGTGTGTGTGTGTGTGTGTGTGTGTGTGTGTGTGTGTGTATCCATCCTTAGAAAATTATACTATTATATGAAATGTGATTCTATGAAGGAACAAATTAGAAAGAGAAAAGCTTCATTCAAGACAACTCTTACCTAGAGGCAGGGGCAGGGGTAGAGATGGGGGTCAGGGTAAAGGTACAGGACAGACAAAGGGAAGGATAAGGCTCCCATTAGAAAGGCTTCAGCTTCAAATCTATGGTAATATTTTATTCCCTAACCTGGGTTGTAGGAAACAGGTATTCATACATTATTTTGTAATGTATGAACTTTTTAAGGCAGGGGTCCTCAAACTACGGCCTGCGGGCCACATGCAAATACAAATATTGTATTTGTTCCCGTTTTGTTTTTTTACTTCAAAATAAGATATGTGCAGTGTGCATAGGAATTTGTTCATAGGTTTTTTTTTAAACTATAGTCCAGCCCTCCAACAGTCTGAGGGACAGTGAACTGGCCCTCTGTTTAAAAAGTTTAAGGACCCCTGTTTTAAGGAAACATAAACTAAACTGAACACATTCAGCAACTTAGAGATCTATGCATGTTACAACATATAAATGTGACTCTCTTTAATTTATGCTGCATAGTTAATAATACAACCAGAAAATAGTTTACTTAGCCACTGATGGACACCTAGGTTGTGTATAGTTTTATACACAAGCCACGTTGCTGTAGCCCTCTTTTGCTGCACAAGCCTTCCTGTGTACATGTGAAGGTGTTCTGTCTTAAGGTGTAATTGCTGGAGCAAGCAGTATGTACATTGTCATTTTTTACATTAATCAATAATGTCAAAATGTCTCTCAACTAGCTATATCAATGTATGTTCCCACCAGCACTAGTAACACAAAAAACCTATTTTTCCACACCCTCAACAAGACTGGATATTAGTCTTATAAATTAGTCTAATTAGTCTTATTAGTTAATTTTACTACTTTAAATAAGGTGAAAATATCATATCATTTTAATTCACAATTCCTTGATTAATATATGATTGAGCACCTTTTCATGTATTTATATGTCATCAATATTTTCTTTTCTATAACTTGTCTATTTGTATCCTTTATTAATTTTTAGAATTTTGGTTGTCTTTTTCATAACTTTATACTTCTTAAACATGATGGAAATAATAAAACACATATTAGAGATTGCTTCCCCTTACCCTTGTTTTATTGAAAACAAATATTAAAAATATTTCTTTGAAAATTTTAAATAATCAACCTTTCTAATACCACAATTAAACACCTAAGAAGTATATGATTAAAAGAATGCCTTTAATTTATTTAGGTAAAAGGTTTCAAGATTTTTCAAAACTATTAATAAATTTATTTTCTATGACTTAAAATTATAACAAACAAAGTGATTTCTACAGTACTACTGTCATAGCTTTCACACAGAACACTAATGTAACCTTCACACCAGGCATGCTGAACACATACTGAGTTGAGACAGTATTGAGGCATATTTGTTAATAATGTTAGGCATGCTAACAGGATGGTGGCTATGCTTTGCAAACAGACAAATTTACAGAACTATCTGAGGGTAAAATAGGATGTCAAGGATTTGCTTTAAAATGCTAGGAGAAAAAATATATGCATGAAAGAGATGAAGAGCAAAAGCATTGTTAATTATTGGAGCTGGATGACAGGTTCGTGAGGGCTCTTTACAACATTCTCTCTACTCTTATAACTATTTGAAAAGTTCAAAGTGTTTTTAATGAGAATTGTATGTTAATGCTGGAGAAGAGATGTGATCTGACTAATCTTAGTGTCACAATGTGTTTCTGCAGATGAGAAAAATTAAGTACTTTTATTCTAAGAACTCCTCAAGATTAACAATTAGTTTAGACTCTGGACTAGAATGTGCAAGACACTTTTAAAGTTTCACAATAAAAAGACCCCAGTTGAGTACTTAGTAACAGCAAAAACATCCCTATAATCAACTACAAAACCAAAAATAACTCTGATCTCTTTTCTCCTTTAATCCACAATATTCTATTCCATCCGGAGTTCTATCAAGTGTACAAAGATCACAGAACAAAGTCAGTCTTCAACTCAAAGGCAAGCTACCGCTGGTGTACAAGCAACAGCATCAACCTTCTGTGGATAAAAATAGCCTCAAACACTGCATGCACCAAAGACCAAAGACCCAGGGAAAGTCAGGCAGAACAAAGTGGTTACCAGGGAGGAATCCGGCCAGCAGAGAGCTTGCCCTTCTGCCCTTCACACAAGAGTCTGTTCGCAACTGAGACTGGGTTCTTGATTCCTATAAAATAAAATTAGCAGAAAATGAAGTAAAAAGTCTTCAACTTTCCCACTCAGTTTTGTGGCAATTTCAATAAACACAAGTTTTAAATATCTTGGAAAACTCTCCTTTTATATATTAATAAAAACCATTAATTATCATAAACAATACAGATCAAATCAACAAATATATGAATATCTAGTAAATTCAAGAAAAGAACAAATATAAAACATACCTTCTCGTGTTTTGTCATATGCTACAGCAGCAAAAACTGAATTTGAAATAATACACATTTAAATTAGGTTCCTTTTTAATAGATTTCAGAATAACAGAATAGAAAAATAAACTGAAAATGTGACATCTACAATCAAAACCATATATTTCCTCTAAAGAATTGCCCTGGCCAGCTTGGCTTGGTTAGTTGGACATCGTCCCAGGCACCAAAAGGTTGCCGGTTCCATTTCCCGTCTGGGCACATGTCCGGGTTGTGGGTTTGGTACTGGTGGGGGGCCTGCAGCCAGCTGATTTTCTGCCCTCACATCAATGTTTTTCTTTCTCTCTCCCTCTCACTCCCTCTCTCTCTGAAAATCAATAAAAATATTTTAAAAATAAGCATGATTACAAACAGCTTCAAATTTAATTGGGGAGGAAAATTAATGGCCAAATATTTTAAATCTCACCTGTAAGAAGGACTGAATATAGAGGAAGTCCTTCAAACTAGGTGAGGGTAGGGAGAACAGACCAAGTATATACAAGATTGTGATCTACAGTATAGTTCAGATTGTAACCTAAAGTATGATTCAGATTGTTCCCATGAGGAAAAACAAAATGTGAAAAGTGAAAAATGGGCACTTATCTGGGAAGAATGACGGCAGTAAGTATTAGTGTGAAAACCTTATACCAGGATGACAATGACAACAACAAATATGACAATGAGGATAAGGACAGAAGACAGTGACAGTAACTCAGTATCTAATATGTGTCAAACCTAGTGCCAATCCCTTAAATGTAATCAGATTACTTCATTGATCCCTTCAACCTTTCACATAAATACCCTTATGAACCCTATCTCATTACTGAGGAAACATTTTCACAGAGGGTTAACTCACCTGCCCAAGATTAGTGCTGCGATTTTAACAGAGGCAGCTAATGCCAGAGACTATGCCCTTAACCACTAAGCTATGATGCCTCTCAGGACACCACTAATGCAAATAAAAAATCAGCAGGGGGATTTAAAGCAGCTATAAAAATTACAATTAAGACCAACATATTGACATTTTTAAAAAAAACTGTCACACAAAAAAATGTATAAAATACCAAAGGATGGAAAAGCTCAGATCTCTGAGCTCTTAAATATATTCCTGGATAAATGATTCAATATTGTAGACATTAACAATTACCAAAGTAACTTACAAATTCTCTATTAATTCAAAACTTCAAAAAATTTCTGAAGTATGCCAAGCTGACTCTTAAATTCATTAGAAAGAGAAAACTTTGGGGGAAAAAATTAAGACTTCACCCAATGAGATCATTTTCATTAAAAACTATTCTAATGAAAAGAGTGTGATTTGAGTACAAAATAGACAAGTATATCAATTGAATAGAATAAAGCTAAACTTCAGACACAGACACACATGAATTTGGATATTTAACATGTGATAAAGATAATTTTCAAATGAGTAGGGCACAGATAGGGTACATATTAGAGGCAGAAGGAACACATAAAGTACTGGAGATCCAACTATTTTACTACTGTACCAGCTATCAATTTATTGGTTCTCGGCTACCAATTCATCCTTTGTTGCCTGATCTGTAAAAATGGAAAAGGGCCCTTTAAGTGTTTCCTTTGCCAGCTGGCACACTGATATACTTTGTCAGTAGAGGGCACTGGAGACACACTGCAGGAGGAAAGGGTGGCTTGCTATCCGGCTCCTGGAGAATACCAGTTTTTCTCCACTATTTGGCCCACATGGTAGTCTCCAGTGCTAAGTGACTGCAGGGTACAGTTTTCTCCAGCATTTGGCCAGCACATGTTTTCCCCAGCTCTTGATTCAGGCCATGGCAGCATAGCTGACAGCCCCAGAAAGAATAGGGCTGCACCCAGCTCAAGTCACTGATCCCCTCATCTTCTCCTCAGTCCGACAAGCACACATGGCAAAATGCTCCACCTGGTTGACTATCTAATGAGCCAAAAGCCCAATTGCTATCCTGTGCAACAGAGGTTTAGTTACCATGGCTTCTTGACCTCTGTGTGCCCACCTACCAGGCCAAGCTCACCTGAGCCACCCAAGATTGTTCCTGCTCTCACAGTGACAATGGCCTGGGTACCCCGGCAACTTCTCCGCCTGACAGTGGGCTGCAACTATACCTTCTACAACAAGGTCTGAATTCCCTTCTAAGTTAATCTCTACTTCAGTATTCTTCTGTCCTAGAATACACTTTGAGTTTTCTTTCCATCTTTATAGAGTTACTCTCTTATCACTGTTTAATAATTCTTTATATTAAACCTCTCCTGTTTAAACTACTGGGTAGTTTCTGTCTCCTAGTTGAACCCAGACTGATACAGTAGCCATGGACAAATTAGTAAACTTCTCCTGTGTCTCAGTTTTCTCATCTGTAAAATAGGGGGGAAAGTACTGACCTCATGTTATTGTGAGAACTAAATGACTTAATATATATAAACTACTGGAGAAAAATGCACATTATGCAATAGTTATCTAATAAATGGAAATTATTCAATAAGTTATGTAGGGACAATTTGTTGGTCATTTCAGAAAAATAAATAATGCATTTAAGAGTTAAATAGGCCTCGCCCTAACCGGTTAGGCTCAGGGTCCCAGGTTCGATTCCGGTCAAGGGCATATACTTTGGTTGCGGGCATATCCCCAGTAAAGGGCCTCGCACCCCAGCCTCCTGGCTTTGGAGGTGGTGTCCTTCCTCTTCCTTTTCTCAACTCTTCAAATCTTGGCATCACAGGGTTGAACTGCGGGGACCGGAAGTGTGTGTGCCTTGCACCAGCGGGTCCCCAGGGAATCGACGCCGGAAATGGCAACTGCTGGGGAAAGATTCCGCGGGCCCCGCTATGGCGGCTATTCCCCCCATCCCCTCCCCCGACTCCTGGCAGCCGCCCAACGTCTACTTGGAGACCAGCATGGGGACCATCGTGCTGGAGCTGTACTAGAAGCATGCTCCAAAGACCTGCAAGAACTTTGCTGAGTTGGCTCGTCGAGGTTACTACAATGGCACCAAATTCCACAGAATCATCACAGCCTTCATGGTCCGGGGAGGTGACCCAACAGGTCGAGGTGGTGCATCTATCTATGGCAAGCAGTTTGAAGATGAGTTTCATCCAGACTTGAAATTCACGGGGGCTGGAATTCTTGCAATGGCTAATGCAGGGCCAGACACCAACGGTGGCCAGTTCTTTGTGACCCTAGCTCCCACCCAGTGGCTTGATGGAAAACACACCATTTTTGGCCGCGTGTGCCAGGGTATAGGAATGGTGAATAGAGTAGGAATGGTGGAAACAAACTCCTAGGACCGCCCTGTGGACGATGTGAAGATCATCAAGGCATAACCTTCTGGGTAGTCTTGCTACTCCCCAGGTCTTCTGAAATGGCCCAGTGAACCAGTTTCCAGGTGACCTAGGTGACATACTCTGAACTTCATTTTGGCCCTGTGAATCCCAGAGCCAAGGAGGCCTGGGAGCTTAGGTTAGAGGTGGAAGTGTATTTTAATAGGATGCTTCTTGTCCCTTCTCCCTGAGCCTTGTTAACAGAACATTTCCAGAACTGCCCATACATGATCACACACAGACTACTGCTCACTGCAGACGACCCATACTGCTTTTTGTGTGCCTCTGTCTGATACCCTTGGAACAACATGAAGCCAGCTCTGCCATTTCACTGTCCAACCAAACTTCTTTCTGCGAAGATTTATATTCTGGCCTGCATTACAGTTTTCAGTGGCTGACGGCCACAGAATTCAAACCACGCAGTGCCTGTCAGACCTCTGCACTCTGTGCACACCCTTTTCAGCCTACATTTGTTCTTCCTGGGAATGTCTGCATCGCTACATATATTTCCCCCTCAAAAGCAGAACATCAACACTGCTGTTTCTGACACTTAGACATCCCACGCAAAGCCACATTGGATGTTTGCCAAATGAGAAATGCATCCAACAATCAAGTGTCTAAGAAGGTGTCAAGTGGGGAATGCTAATGTGTAATAATCAAGAAATGAATTTACTAAAAGGAGGCAGAAGCGTTGACCATTTTTTTGCCCAGGAAAGAGTAGAAATCTGTAGTGAGCCTAAGAAAAGACTGAATTCTTCTCATAAGGAGAAGTGCCACTACCTTTTTCTTTTTTAACCTAAGACTTTAGAGAAACTGAAATTTTATATGTTAAGGGCTTTTCTTGTTTTTTAATCTTTCTGTATTTTTAGGGGGTTATGCGAGGAAGTTAATACCTGTGTGATACATAGAAACTTCCTAAATCAGTGATGGCGAACCTATGACACATGTGTCAGAGGTGACACGCAAACTCATTTTTTTGGTTGACTTTTCTTTGTTAAATGGCATTTAAATATATAAAATAAATATCAAAAATATAAGTCTTTGTTTTCCTATGGTTACAAATATCAAAAAATTTCTATATGTGACACGGCACCAGAGTTAAGCTAGGGTTTTTCAAAATGCTGACACGCCGAGCTCAAAAGGTTCGCCATCACTGTCCTAAATAAAATGCCATTAATGGTTGAAATTTTAAAACAAACCAACAAAAACAAAAAAAAAAGTTAAATAAAAATATATTATGCACATATTAGAAGAAAATATAGGTGACCAAACTCATAATTATGAGAGAGAAACCTTACAAATGCAAAATACAAAATCCACAACAGAGAAATAAGTTTGACAAATAAAACTTTTAAATTCCAATATGATAAAGCACATTATAAAGTTTTAAAAGGCAAGCCACACAAGAGGTATAAACAGTTCACAGAAAAATGTTAATGGCCTTTAAACATGTGAAACTTCATTAAATACCAATAAAATTTTACAATAAAAGAAAATAAAACCTAATTGAAATACCATTTCTTATCTATCACACAAATCAGAAAGAATATAGACTATTTGAATAAATAAATAATCAAATAGACCTGACATGTAGAACATGCACCCAACAACTATAAGATACATACTCTTTTCAAGTTCACATGGACCATTTATCAAAAACACATCATAATCTGGGCCATAAAGCAAGTCTCAAAAGGCTTTAAGGGCTTGGAATCTTACAGCGTATGTTTTAGGACCACAGTGAAATTAAAGACTAGAAATAAATAATGAAAGCTAACAAAAAAGTCTTTAGGCTAAGAAATTTGAACACTTATATAAGACAAATTCCTTGAAAAAACACAGAGAAAAAGAAAATATAGTCTTATAACTGTTAAAGAAATTGGATCCCTTTTTTAAAAACTTCCCACAAAAACTCTACTACTAATTTAGAATAACTAATGAATTTCTCCAAACAATTAAAAAGAAATCATTCCAATCATACACAAACTATTTCAAAGATCAGAGAGAAAAAAAAATTCTTAGCTCATTTTATGAGGCCAGCCATACCATGATTCCAAAACCTGAAAAGAATATTATAAGAAAGAAAAATTAAAGCCTATTATGCGGACATAAATGTCAAAAATCTTGAACATCAGCAAAATATAAAAAATAAAAACTTATGACCAAGAAGATTTTATGCCAAGAAGGGAACATAAATTTCCCTTAACACTATGAAGAAGAAAATTCATATCTCAGTAGATGCAGAAAAGCACTTAATGATATTCATACCCATTTATAATAAATACTATCAGCAAACTAAGATTAGAAGGGAACTTTCTCAATATGATAAAGAGCATCTATGAAAATCCTACAACTAGCAGCATACGAAATGGTGAAATATTTAATGTTCTTGCTCTAAAATCAGGAAAAAAACAAGGATGTACACTATTACCACTTATATTCAACATTGCCCTGGATGTCATAGCCAGTATAATAATGCAAGAAAAAAACAGACATTTAAACGTTGGAAAGAAAAAAGCAAAACTGCCATGATTCACAGGTGAGATAATTGTGTGTATAGAAATTCCAAGGAAGCCTATTTTTTTTAATTCTAATATACGCAAAAACTTCATGTGATACTTTTTTGGGATATTCACTTTATAGAGGTCGTCTGGAACAGAACCCACAATATTTCTGAGGTATGCTTGAATGTCACTTGAATTTTTTAACAACAAAAATACATTATTTCAAGTAATTATAAAATTATTATTTCATATAATTATAAAAGTAAGAGAATATGCTAACACATTTGAAATGTCTATAATCTCTTGAGGGGATGGAGAATGATCAAACTCTAACAAAGACTATATACAGCTAAAATTTCATGTTTTAAATTTAGTAAAAAAAAATCTTTTAAGTTTGTTTTTAACACTATTCCAATTAAGAATGGTGGAAAAAACTGGACTAGGTCTTTAGATGCCATGGAATGGTAATATTCATAGTTTTATAAAGAACAAAGATAATGTGTTACAGTGTCCACATACCACTCAATGCTCCAACAGCTCCAAAATTTAAGGATTTTCCATCCATTATGCTGGCATCACATTCAATTTCACCCAGGAGATTTAGATTAGATCCCATTCCTGCATTTGTAAAAGGAGAATCCTAAAAGATAAAAACAAAAATTAAAATACCTTTAGTCTTGAAGATTTAATATCAATCCTTCATAAACTGTTCCATGAACTAGAAAGGGAAAGAATGCTTCCCAACTCATTATATGATAGCAATACTGCTGTTATTACAGAACAAAACAAATGCATCATAAGGAAAGAAAACTACAGACCAATATACCTTATGAATATTGTCACCAAAAATCCTCAAGGAAATACTAGCAAACCAATTGCAACAAAGGATTATATACCATGAAAAAGAGGGATCCCAGAAAGCAAATTTGGTTTAATATCAATGTAATTCACCATATTAATAAAGGAACAAAAACCAAAAACAAAACACCATGATCATCTCAACACAGAAAACGAATTTGACAAAAAATCCAACATCCTTTCATGAAAAAACAAACCATTCAACAAAGTAAAAATAAAAGGGAACTTCCTTAATACAATAAAGGATACCTACAAAAACTGGAGCACTAACAGCATAATTAATAGTGAAAGACAGAATGCTTTCCCCGAAGATCAGGAACAATACATACAGTACAACAATGTTCACTCTCACCACTTCTATTCAACATTATACCAGGTATTCTGGACAGGAGTCTAGGCAAAAAAAGAAAAGAAGTAAAGAGAATCTATATTGGAAAGGAAGAAGTAAAGTTATCTACCTCTATTTGAAGATGAAATGATCTTGTACACAAAAAAATTATCAGGACTCCACTAAAAAACTATTAAAACTGGTAAGTTCAACAAGGCTGTAAGATATAAGATGAAACAAAACTCAATTTTATTTCTACACACTAGCAATGAATAATCCAAAAATCAAATTAAGAAAACAATTCCACTTAACAAAAACAGCAAAAAGAATATTTATGAATAAATTTAACAAAAGAAGTATAAAACCGGTACACTGAGAACTACAAAGCATGTTGAAAAAATTCAAGACCTGCCTTGGTGGATGGCTTAGTTAGTTGGAGTGTCCTATTCACCAAAAATTTGTGTGTTCATTCCTGGTCAGGGTACATACCTAGGTTGCAGGTTCAATCCCTGGTCATGGCAAGTAAGGGAGGCAATGGATTGATGTTTCTCCCTCACATCAATGTTCTTCTCTCTCTGTCCCTTCCTCTCTCTAAAAATCAATAAAAATATATCCTCAGGTGAGGATTTTAAAAAGACCTAAGCAAATGGAAGTGCCACGACGTTCAAGGCTAGGTTCAGGGTCCGAAGGAGGGGCCAATGCACAAATGAATATGCTATACAAGAAATATGAATTTAGAAGGCATTAGGGGCCAGGTGGAGCCTCTTTCTTGAAGAGAGAGACACGGACTTCTGGCCTGGTCCACTATTTATTTACTTGAATATACATTTGCCCTTCAGCAAGGCATACAGGCAGATCAAAAGTAGAGTTTGGTAAACAATGTAAGGATTATCAGGTTAGGAAACTGCCTTGAGCCACTGAGCCCACAACAGGGCAATATTATGCTGATTTTCAGCCCTGCTGAATATCAAAGTCCATTGGCCTTCCAATGTTTTCTTTTTGCATTAATATGCTAACTGCTGTTGGCTTTAACCTCCAGCATGGAAGGACAGCCATGTACATAGACAAGAAGGCTTAATGTCTTTAGGATGTAATATCCCCAAATTAATCTGAATCAAAACAATCCCTTATCAAATCCTACCAGCCTTTTTTATTTGCAGAAATTGACAAACTAGTCCTAAAATTCATATGGAAATGCAAGGGATTCAGAATAGGCAAAACAATCTTGAGAAGAGAAACAAAACAGTAGGGCTAACACACTTCTAGATTTTATAACTTACTATACATAACTACAGTAATCAAGGCAGTTTGATACAGACATACCGCTAAGGGTAAACAGATACATCAATGCAACAGAACTGAGAGTCCAGACAGAGGCCTCCCATTTATGGTCAATTCAACAGGATGCCACAACAATGCAATAAAGAAACTATCTACATAAATGGTGCTGGGACAACTACATATCCATATGCAAGAGAATGAAGTTAGACTATCTCACACCATAGACAAAAATTAAATCAAAGAGATCAAAGACCTAAATGAAAGAGCTAAAACTATAAAATCCTTCAAAGAAAATGAAGAGCAAATGTTACATGGCACCAAAAGCACAAGCAACAAAGGAAAAAATTAAGTAAACTGGATCATCAACATTAACTTCATGTTTCAAAGTACACCCTAAAAAAAGGTGGGGAAAAACTCCAAATCGTTTACCTCATAAGATATTTGTATCCAGGATATATATATAAAAAAATTCTACAACTCTAAAATGAAAAAATATCTGAATTTTTAAATGGGCAAAAGATGTAAACAGACATTTCTCCAAAGAAGCTATGTAAATAGCCTATAAGCACATAAAAAGATGCTTGACAACATGAGTCATCAGTGAAAAGCACATCAAAACCACAATAAAATACTATTTCACACCCACAATTCCACTTGCAATAACATCAAAAAGAAACAGAAAGACAGATGTGTTGGCAAGGATATGAAGAAACTAGAACCCTCATACATTGCTGGTAGGAATGTAAAATGGTTTAGCCACTTTGGAAAACATCTGGAAGTTCCTCAAAAAGTTAAATAGAGTTACCATTTGACCCACCAATTCTACTTCTAGGTATGTATCTAAGAGAAATGAATTGTCTACACAAAACCTACACATAGACACAGACAAGAGTGCAGTGACGGCCAGAGGGAAGGTAGTGCTAGAATTGGGCAAAAGGCAGGTGGTGGTGGTGGAGGTGTGGGGCAAGGAATGGGGACTTTTGTAATAGTGTCAACGATAAAAATAAAGTTTAAATATTCAATAAAGTTACCAAAAAAAAACCCCACTACCTCGTTTTTCTAATACAGTAAATAGTTTTTAAAAAATATATACCACTAGTCTTATTATATGAAGACCATATCACATGATCTCCAACAAGAGAATAAGTGAAAAAGCTAATAATATAAAATCTTGCCCTAACCGGTTTGGCTCAGTGGACAGAATGTTGGCCTTGAAAGGTCCCAGGTTCAATTCTGGTCTAGGGCATGTATCTTGGTTGAGGGCACATCCCCAGTAGGGGGTGTGCAGGAGGCAGCTGATCGATGTTTCTCTCTCATCCATGTTTCTAACTCTCTAACCCTCTCCCTTCCTTTCTTTAAAAAAATCAATAAAATATATTTTTAAAAAATCCTATATACAGATATGCTAATTAGCCCAGGTATGCTAATTAGTCATGACCAGTATGCAAATTGACCATCACTCCAACATACAAGATGGCCGCCCCCATGTGGCCACAAGATGGCTGCCAAAAGATGGCCTGCAGGGGAGGGCAGTAAGGAGTGATCAGGCCAGCAGGGGAGAGCAGTTGGGGGCAACCGGGCTGGCAGGGGAGGGTAGTTTGGGTGACCAGGCCAGCAGGGGAGGGCAGTTGGGGGCGACCGGGCCTTCAGGGGAGGGCTGTTGGGGGCGACCGGGCTGACAGGAGAGGGCAGTTGGGGCAATCGAGTCAGCAGGGGAGCAGTTAGGCGTCGATCAGGC